TTCATGATAAGCTCTTGGGAACAGGCCCACTTTGGTTCAGAAGGATTTCTGTTGTGACTGCATATAATTCAGCCTTTCGTGGGGACGTGAAATCTAACCGTCAGGCAGTGTTTGGACGAGGATGGGTATTACGACAGTTCCAACAGCCCCCAACAACAGTGTACTCATTGTATGAGAAGTGAAAGAGGCAAGGTAGTCTAGACTCAAGTAACACCCATCCTCCCCTGAAACACACACACACACACACAGTTTTTTGGGCCCATTACTAGAACTACAGAGCCCCAGGGTTTTTTTTTTTTTTGACAGTGCAATACTGTATACAATGCAGACAGATGTACACAGCATCCCTCAAACACACCTACTGGGGCAGAGGCACACAGAACCTGCCCTGGAACACAAAACAGAGGCACGACCTCCCCGCCTGCCGCCAGGAGAAGGCATACCCTCAAAATTTGCCCACAGGCTTCAAACAGAAATCTCTGCATACAGTGCCAGATGGTCTTTTCTTTCTCTTTCTCCTGCCCTCCTGGCCCTGCTCCCCTCTTCACCGTCCCTCTGTCAAAGAACTTCATTATCTGCCTGCAGACTGCCCCCATTCTCTCTCCCCAGCCTTCCCGAAACACACTCCGCTCAAACCGATGTAGAGATGCAAAAGGGATGCCAGCCAGGCCTCCAGCTCAGATATGTGCCCCTCACCCCACCCCCTTTGTTCAGCTCCCTCAGGAAACTCTTAGGCCCAACACTGGGAATCAGGAATCATCAGGGCAATGACAGCGACAGGAATCTGGCATCATAGCAGAGCAAGCTAAACCTCCACCTGCAACACCAGTATCTCATATGGGTCTTGGTTCGAGTCCCAGATGCTCCACTGCCAGTCCAGCTCCCTGATTATGGCCTACAAAAGCAGCACCCATGTGGGAGACCTGGATGAAGTCCCGGATCCTGGCTTGCAGCCATTTGGGAAGTGAACCAGCAGATGGAAGGCTGATCTCTCTCTCTCCCTCTTTGAAACTCGGCCTTTCAAATAAAAAGAACTAAATCTTAAAAGAAAGTGTGATACAGGGCCTGACTTGATGACATAATGGCTAAATCTTTGCCTTGCACATGCCAGGATTTGTATGGGCAGTAGTTCGTGTCCCAGTTGCTCCACTTCCCATCCAGCTCCCTGCTTGTGGCCTGGAAAGGCAGTAGAGGATGGGCCAAAGCCCTGGGACCCTGCACCCACCTGGGAGAACTGGAAGAGGCTCCTGGCTCCTGGCTTCAGATCAGTTCAGCCCCGGTCATTGCATTCATTTGGGGAGTAAACCACCAGATGGAAGATCTTTCTCTTTGTTTCTACTTTTCTCTGTAAATATGATCTGATTTTCCAATAAAGATAAATAATTTGAAAGATAGAGAGGAAGGAAGAAAGAAAAGCAACATGCAGGTAGAAGACTGTCTCTTCAGTACTACCTGCTTCTTCCTTCCTTAAGCACTTCCCGGAAGTAATTCTCACCTGGAGATGAGGCAGAAAGTGGAGGACTGCCTCTCTTAGGTCACAACCTCCCAGCTCCAGGCCAGCAGTGTGACCATGATACTTGGAGTCTGGGGTGCTCTCCCAAAGACCACCACCAAAAAAAAAAAAAACCCGGACACCCCAGATGCCCAGCTGACAAATATGAGGATGCCCTTTTCCAAGGTATTTCCAAGTTACAACTTGGTTGAGTGAGTGATTATTCTAATTTTAGAGAGGGATCCTATAGGGAGAGAGCACAGGAAAGGGAGTAGCAAAAGGGGGGAGAGAGGGAGTGAGAACAAGAATGTTACTTTTTAATCCTTAAGGAACAGAGGGATCCAATGAGTGAGTCAGCTCTGGGAAGCTAAAGCTACTCTGCTGGGGTGTGGGGAACAGCTGTAGTCCCATCCAAGCTGTAGGCAACTTCTCCTTCAGGCCTCAGAGGCTGCTGTGACGCATCTCACCTGGAAGGAAAGCTCTGTTGCTTAAAAAAAAAAAATCTGTCTATGTTGGGCTGCTCAGGGGCTTTTCCCAGACATGACCACGGGGTACACGGAGCAGGTTTTCCCCTGAGCCACAGTGAAGGGTGAGGCTGCGTACAGGTGCCCCAGTATGCCATTAGCCCACAGACCTGCTGAGGGCAGATCTGGGACGCCCTTGCCTGGAGTCTCCCCGCCCCTGCTATTCCATTCCTTGGCACAGTCCCACAGCATATCAAGTATCTGCCCTTGGAATTCCCACTTCCTTGTTTCTTTTTTTGTTTCCCTGTAAAGCTGTGTAGTCTTCATGTTCCAGAAAGAACTGCCTATCCCCTAAGGAGTCTTTTCAGAGCAAAAACACTGGCTACCAGTTAGAACCCAGTCTTTCAAACCTTGGACCTAGGAGAAAGATCCCCCTGCCACACTCAAGCTTTGGGCAGAACCCAGCAGAACCAGGGAAGTGGTCCTGGCACTCAGCCTCTCTTGCAGTGACTGCAGTCCTGACACCATGACCACAGTGGCTGCTGGACACTGGAGCGGCAAAAGGCTCTCCTGGAACCCCTCTCCTTTACACCAAAACACATGAGGATGGACGGGGTGGGAAGTAAGTGGATGGTGGTCCAAGGAAAACATCATCTCTGGAGGATCCCCTCAGAAAGCTCAAAGTCTACCCTAAACATCACTCATAGTCAACTTCCCAACCCAAAGTATGCAAAATGTGTCCTTAAATACACTGAAGAAGTCCCTTATGGGTTTGCTCACTTTTATTTAGAAATTCATGGGTGGGGGGAGGATAATGTGGGCAAGGCGGGGGGGATTAAGAGGGGTAAAGTGACTTTCCAGGAGAAACTTAGGTCATTCTGCAGGCTGGAACTGGAAACACTGTCACATTATTTAAGACTCCCCTTGTTTAAAACTTTCATGGAAATCATCTCACTTGCTTCTCCCAAAAAGTCCTGAAGCAGTTACTGTCATTTCCATCTCACCAGTAATAAAGTGAAGCTCAGAGCCAGGCTGCTGGCATGCAATATGGATATCAGCTGAACTCCCAGCTGCTCCACTTCTGATCCAGCTCTCTGCTAACGCACCTGGGAAAGCAGAGGATGGCTCAAACGCCTGGGATCCTGTACCCAGGTGGGAGACCAGGAAAAAGCTCCTGGCTTCCATCAGGCCTAGCCCTGGCCATTACAGTCACTGGAGAATGAACCAGCAGATACAAGATCTCTCTCTGTCATCATGCCTTTCAAGCAAATAAATATATATTTTTAAACATCATGTAACACTCACATTAGTTAGGGAATTTGCTTTGCAAGTAGTAAAACCTGGCCATGGACTCAAGTCTTCTCACCCCAGAAGCACTGCTCTTTTTGAAACATAAAAAGTTCCTGAAACATTCTGCTAGTCTTTATAAATACAGGTGATAAAACGGGAGATTCAACCACAGACCACATGCCACTCTGATTTACATGGCCCACCACAGAGGGCTCACTGGTTCCTTCTCGGCTCCCCGTCCCCATTCTTTAATACTAACAGGGCTGGATTTCCACCAAGCAAAGGATCCCATTCCCTATTGCAGTAAAAGCAGTAACAAGTGCCCCAGCTGCACCATGCAGAGCTTCCACCTGGTGGGGATTCTCAAGCCACAACACTGTTGCAAACCCACATGGGTTCTGGGAGTCAGTACTGGGGACACACAGTGCTTGCCTTGGCAGGACGACCCGAAATTAATCAGGAGGCCCCCTCCCTTGTCTTCCTGAATACAAAAGGCATTCTGTTTGGAGAGGTTGGAGAAAGAAAACCGAAGAGCACCAGACAGCAGCTGTTCCCTCACCCCAAACAGAAACCCATGGCATCCACGGAGCTCTACGGTCAAGAGCAGGTTTAAGAGGCGACAGGGCTGGGAGCACTTCTCCGGGAGCACTTCGGAAGTGGTCTCTCCTGCGGGCGGGCTCTGCCACCTTCGTATTCCTCCCCACATTACTGTCCCCCCAACTACCTACAAAACTGCCTGCCAGGCAGGTCTCCAGCCCAAGGCCACACTGAACTCACTCTCTCTCTCTCTCTCACCCACCCACACACACACACAAACACCACTCCTCTTGGCCACAACCAATTTCCCCAAAACTTGGGGCCACCCGAATTGGAGGCACATGCTGTAGGGTCGGCATGTGCCCTGAGATGAGGCGCAAACACTAACCAAGGAAATCCACACAACATAGGCAAGGAGCCTCGCATCTCCCCCCGTTCTAAGCAGCTTACCCCAGGTAAGATCCTTCTATGCAGGCACCCCCACTCCAAGGGATCCCTCCCTCTGCTACCTCCTGCCCCCCGCCCTCTGCCCTGGGATGGTGGCTGTGAACAACCTTCTGACTGATGGAGGCCAGTCCTCTGGGAAGAGCGAACCTTCAGTTCAGATATCCCTGTGGCAAGCTCCATATGACCTGTTCCCCCCAATACGCTCCCCTCCCAGTGCCAGAGGGACTTGGAACTCACCACAGGCTCTTCACAGAGCTGAACTGGCTTTTATTGTTGATGTTGCTGTTACTATTATTATTATAGGTCAGACATTGCAGCATCAAATGATAAAACAAAGTGTTTCCTGGAAGGAACCAAGCGACTCAAAAAGACCCTGGAGTTTCCCGTGTAGGAAACACACACACACACACAGCTGTAACTGTCGGCACTCAGCTCTTTTCTATCTCAAAGTCTCCTCCGGCACAACGACGCTGTGCCTTTTTCGTGCTACGGAAAAGTCAAACCAAGTTTGCCAAAGTTAAATCTCAACACCTCAGACTCATCAAGAGTGAAATCAACTCCATTTGCAGTCAAGAAAATTGGCTGCTTCCCTCCTCCTGACACTAATAGGATCCAACTGTCGAGCATGACATCATTCTTGAGCCCCGAACCCGGGGAGCAGCAGACACTCATCTGCCTCCCAGAAAACAGCCGGAGAGGGCCGGGGAAGGAGGGGGAACACTCCAGCGCCCCACTGCATCCCACTGCCCGAGCCGAGAGCCGCCGCTCACCTGAAAGTCCCGGTGCTTTCCTGTCCGCTCCATTTTCGGCAGAGTCGGACTCACACCTCAGTCGGTGAGGGAGCCCCTGGGGCCCCCCAAATCCACTGGCTGAAGCTCCGATACCTGCTGCGGGCTTCCCACAGACTCCTTCCTCTGACCTTTCGTGGCGCTTGCTCCTTCCAAGCCAAGTGAGCCCAGCACGGCTGGCCGGCCAGGCCAGTTGTCATGGAGACCCTGTCCCCGCGGCGCGCACGCCCCGGTTCTCCAGCGCCAGCAGGCGCGCGCACATTCTAGGCGCTCCCCGCCCTCCGCCTCCCCTCCCCCTCCGGTGTCTCTTCCTCTCCTCCCAGTCTCTCTGTCTCTCACTTCCAGGAGGCCTCCGTGGGACAGCACTGTCTGTGGATCAGCTCGGTCTTGCAAGCATTCCGCTCCTCCTAACTCCTCTCCCGTCACACAAGGGCTCAGGATTTGCTCCTGGGAACTTGCTCCAGTAGTTCAGAGGGGAGAGGGAGAGTGGGCTTGTTTTCCTCCCCTCCAGTGTCTGTCAGTCTGTCTCTTTTTTATAACTTGGAAGAATCTGGCAGCGGGGTGTGTGTTGGGGGGGGTGGGCGGGAGCGAGCTGGAGTGCTTGGAGTGGGGAGCTGGCCCCTCCCGTGGGTCTGGGAGCCCGGGAGGAGGGACCCTGATGCACCACCGCCTTAACTTGTTTGTGCATTGGGATTTTCCGGGTCGGCAGTTGGGGAGGAAGTGCACTCCCATCCCAAGAGCTCGCCTGGACTGGCCTCTGCTTACCTTGTCTCCAGGTGGCGACGGTGGTTTTAACCAGTACCGGGGCGCATGGTACTAGTGCTGGCACCTAAGCAGTCTCTCATCTTCCTGCAAAGGAAAGACACTAGGTCAGGACCAGGAAGAGCCCCTGCAGCCCTGAGGGCAACCTTGATAGAAACACAGGCCTGCCTCTTGGCCCCATTCTGGATCAGCAGCTGGAAAGCCAGGCTTCCTGGGAGCCAGGTCACAGCGCTAACTCTCAAAGGCTGGGTAAGGGAACGGACTCTATTTAGTAACATCGCCCCCTCCCCTACACACAAACACACAGACACACAGACATGGGGACATTTATTCCTGCTTTGTAACATTCTTTTACAGATATGACTTTGATTCTTATCACCTTTTGAAATACACTGCGCCAGTATTCTACAAAATCTTGGTTCATCTATCTGTTTATCACAAGAGGCTTAAAGGTTAGGACTGGCATTATACTAATTGTAACAGATTTTTTTTTTTTTTCAAATAAAAATATCTACAACAAAGGTAAAATAACTTGCCCTGGGTCATAGAACCAGGAAATAACGCATTTTAAAAATGCAGCCAACTCTCTGGCATACAGTATGCAGAGTAGTTGAAAGGGTAACAGGAGCCCCAGGGATGAGAAGGCCTTGGCAGCCCCTGACTGCACCACTAACTCCCAGCCGATGGACAAGGCACCTGTCCTCCAGCGTCTACCAGTGGACCCTCTCAACCTAAGACACTGCTGTTCATGAAAGCCTTGTGCTTAACTCAGGCAGGCACTGAGATACGACCCTCACTCATCCCTGCAGCTCCTCACCAGAGGCCAACAAAATGCTCTGGGGTCGTGGCATCCCCTTCAGACAAAGACAGGCTCAAGGAGGACACAGCCCAATGCTGCTGCTCAGAGCAGCACTGCAATGGGCTCTTTCAGGCAATCATCCCTTAGAATTCTTCAGTGTTCCTTTTTATTAGACTCCTGTATATTGCAAAATTTCTCAGAATGAGATTCTGATTGCCTTGAGTTCTAAAACATAAGTAAGCACCAAAGCTAAGGTAGGATAAGTGTTTCAAAAACGCAACAGGAAGTGATGGGATGGCACAAACTCTTAAGGATTAGTGCGACTGCTTCACGGAGGCCACCAGAGCTTTTCAATGTCCAATCTCACTCAAGTCCCAGCTCAGGAGTCCCTACTGCCTCAGGTCAACAAGGGCAAATGAGCCGGCAAGGATGTGTGACATCACAAAATCCCCAAACTTCCCTTCCCCATACTCAACCAGGCATCCCTCTGCTCTTCTTGCAAAGAGCACATTCCACCTTCCTAGTCTCCACTCTGAGAAAGAGGTAATCCCACCCAGTTTTATAACACAGTATTCACTGTGTAACAGTAGCAGTCACTAACATTTACTGGACACCTAACATGTCAGACAGGGTTTTAAGCAGCATGAGGGGCCAGGGCTCAGACGCTGAGCGCTAAAGCTCATACAGTCAGCATCCAAGCCCTCAAGACCAGGCACGGCATGCAGGCCATGCTCCCCCTAGTGGCGTGCTGGGGTAGAAGGGTTCCTCAGGGCCTCATCCTCCTCAGGAGTAGGAACCCAGAAAAGGTACCATTAATGGGAGAACGGTGGTCCCTGTTTGGGCAAGGAACTCCTCGAACTGAGTAGAGCCAGAGGAAAGCTGAACCCCACTGCTGCCTCTGCAGGGCAGTCCTCCTGGACCTTTCCCAGACAGCCTCATCTGTTGAGAGCCTCACCTGCAAAACTGAGCCGGAAACCTGGGAGACAACCTCAAATTTCTCCATCTCTTTCTCCCCACATCCAATGCACATGCCAACTCCAAACAATCCTGCTTCCAAAATACGTCCTTTCTCTCCACTGCCATTGCTTCACATTGCATACCTTAGTTAGATACATAAACTTCCTAATTGCCCCAGCTCCCACTCCTGCCCTCTCTGAAGATACAGGACAAAATCAAACTCAGTTTCTCCTCTACTCTCACTCAACACTCAAAACAGAATTCCAACAGCGACTGTGGGTGCGGACAGAGGATTCCCCGCCCCAATGCAAGTGATCGGTTCTGCAGCCATCACATGCTGGGTGTTCTCTAATTCAACTCAGCTCTGACACCACCTGAAGGTAAAGCCACATCCCACAGATTGAGGGTTCTGTTCCCAAGACTGTCCACCCTCTACTTTAGGACTGGCCCCAAGCCCCAGGTCATTTGACTAGTGCTTCTTATTAAGCAGCCAGCTCTAGGTCAGGATGCCCACAATCCCCTCCTTGGGTTGGGTTAATTTGTCAGGGAAACACTAACTTGGGTTTATTGGTGTGTTAAGGATACAGATGAACACCAGATGAGAGGAGGGATAATGCAAGCTCTGGGGGAGGGGCACCGAGCTTCTAAGCTGCCTCCTACAAGCTGCCCTCCCTGAACCTCCTCTGGCCATCCAGTCTTTCCAGGGGCTTTCAGGAAAGCTTCATTATACAGGCATGATCATCAGTTGTATCTAATCATTTGTGATCAGCTTATCCTTCAGTCCCTCTCCCCTCCTTAAAGGAAGGGGGATGGGACTTTAAAAAGTTCTCATTCCCTAATCAAGTAGTTAGTTCCCTTGGGAACCAGGCCCCAGCCTGAGGCTGTGCAGAAGCCCCCAATCATCTGTCAACTCAACAACACACACACAGACACGGTGTCTGGATATTCCAGGATTCCAGAAAACAGGACAAAGGCCAAATATACAGTTCACAGTAGCTCACCCTTACAAATGCATTCTCCAGAGAGCTCTCCCTTTTTACATGGGATCATGTCATTTCCTGCCTAACACACTGCAGTGGCTTCCCAGTGTGCTTGGGACAAACCCAAACTTCTAACCCAGCCCTGCAAGGCCCGGCCTCCTCTGGACATACTTCCTGCCCTTCCCCCAGTTGTGTTCCGGCCACAGAGAATCTTTTTTAGCTCTCCCAAAGTGCCAGTTTTTTCTCCAGGCTGTTTCCTTCAGTCTGGGACACTCCCTGGTGCACAGTCGGTCTGGGTAATTCTTAGTCCCCAATGTCCCAGCTTCACTTGAGCTCTACACCCCTCCAGTCTGAGTGATGCTCCCCAACCTGACCCTCAGTACCACTCAGTAGGACTTGTCACTATGCCTTGGTGCAACTGTTTCCTTGGGGTCAGTCTGTCCCCAGAAGGGCCTCCAGAGCACAAACCTCCACCATTGAGCTGTCATCTTCCCTTCACACAGCAGGGACTGGACCACTACGTGCTGAACCAATGCATAAAAACCCACAGCTTCCTTTGCTCCAGAAAGCAGCAGCTTACATACAGCTGTGTCATGCCACTCACTGTATCTTTTCATAGACTTACAAGCTGTAATGACATCTCTTTTCATCCTGTGCCTTGCTTGTGGGTTCCACCAGCAATTCCTGTCAAGTCTCCATGTGGTTTGTTTCCCAGAACTTCCCCCATAAGGTCATGCTCCTGGGGCGCACTCCAGGGTTTTATAGCCTCTCCTGTTACTGGAGTGCCCACACATAGGCCTTCCACCACCACTCTGTCATTCACTGCCAAGCCAAGCCGGCTGCAGGCATGGGCCAACTCCCACCATGACAGGGTTCTCAGGTCAGCTCTATCCGGGGACAAAAATGCTTCCTCTCACCACAGCTGTGTAAGCCACAATGTCACCAGAAAAAAAAAAAAGCATTTTAAATGAAGAAAATCATTTCATGTCACTCTAATTTGGAAATGGGCATCAAAAGCTTAGGGGGTGGGAAAGGGCTTTACTGCTAAAGTATTCTTTCAAAACTGGGGGACAATAGTGAAGGCTTAGATAAGAGCAACAATAGTGCGATCAGCTCCCCTTGAATTACCTCTCAAATCTGCAGTCCCTCCTGGCTTCACCTCCTGCGCCCCATGCCCTCCCTCCACGACAGGTATGACCTACCACCCAGCCCGGTGCTCTACCATCTGCCATGCTTTTCCTCTCTCCCTCCATTGCTCATGCTCTTTCACCTCAATGCCTTTCTTTCACCAAGTATTAACCGCCTTCAAGGCCCAACTCAGGTATCATCACTCTGCGAAATACTTCTTCATCTCGTGGCAGAATCGTTCTCTTCTGCAAGTCGCCAACAATTGAAAGATGCCTTTACCATGGTGCTGACTTCTCCAGCACTGCCAAGTTACACACTTACCTCTGCCACAGACCTGAGCCCACCCTGCTCCCCAATCCCCATTTCCCTCCGTTGTTCTACCTTTTGAATATCTCTCTCTCTTTTTTTAAAATTAGTTTATTTTTATTGGAAAGTCAGACATACAGAGAGGAGGAGAGACAGAGAGGAAGATCTTCCATCCATTGATTCACTCCCCAAGTGGCTGCAATGGCTGGAGCTGAGCCAATCTGAAGTCCCA